GAACTGGGACTCCAGCCAGGATGAGTTTTCTGTATCAGGAACACATTTGCTCGTAGTTGGAGATAGTGGCTGGTGGTGCTCAGCAAGGCTTGGTCCTCAGTTCCTGGTGGAGGATGGGGAGATGCTCGTGCTGTCGCGGTCGGTGACAGAGGACAGCACCTCCCGGGCTGTGTTTTGGTGCTTTATTTACGTGGGGGCACAGCAGCTGCTTGGGGCGTTTGGGTTTGTGTGTTTTGTGGTGTCTGAGCGGGGCTGAGCTGTGTGCTGAGCTTTGGGGTCTCAGCAGTTACAAAGGCAGAAGCCCCTGCTCTCAGGTGAAGTAAAAAAAAAGTCACCGGAGGAGTTGTGAGAGAACGGGCCAGGGCCAGGCGGCAGAGGAGGGTTTACGCTGGCGGTGGCCTGGCCGGGGGTGTTTGTTGCTCTTTGTGTGAGCACCCCGAAGGACGGGCGAGGTGGTGAGCAGGAACAGCAGCGTTACACCCCGTCCCTGCTGCTTGTGCTGCCCGCGTGCCCCTGCCTCTGTCCCACTGCACGTTCGGCCACGTGCTGCCCTGCAGGAATCCCCCAAAACGTGCTTCAGGCCCAGCGACACCCCGGTGCAGCACGCGGCCTTGCTCCAGCCAGAGCCGGAGCCCTCACCGGGTGCACTCGGCCGTGCTGCCGGAGCCGGGTGCTTGATAGCTGTACGGTCATGCTTTTAATTACCATTAAAATAATTGGCACTGTGGCTACTGGGAGGATGTGAGAAGATCAGAGGCTCAAGGCTGTTTCTCCTGGTGCCTCAGGGGTATGAGCAGCTTTCAGTGTCTGGATAATTAAAAGCTGCAATCTTTCATGTGCACAATAAAGAGGGCTGGGAGGTGGGGAGACTTCAGCCCTTCTGCATTTTATTTATTAAACATCATCAATGGCCATTCTCTCCTCTTCACAACGGTTTTTAGGAAGCGCTGGTGTTTGACAGCCCTGCTCCAGTAAGATGTCCAGTGCTGTCCAGGCTTCCCGCGTTAAAAGCCACCAACCGGTTTCTTACCGGGATCAGTGCGGGAAGGGAAGTGCAGCTGTACAGGAGAGCTCTGGTCCGGGTGCCTTTTTAAACCCCTCCCTGCACTTCCCCCTTTCCTCAGCATCCCCTCACAGGGTGTCTGTCTGCCAGCTCAGCCCCTTTCCTGGCAGCTCCTTTTTCCTTCCTTCATCCCCATCCTGCTCATGGTGCTGGTGTCCACGCTGGGCTCCCCCTGCTCCTGCGACCCACGGGCTGCTGGACACCCGATGGTACTGGGCATTTCTGCTCTGGTTCTCTGAAGTGAACCAAAAATCCCCCAGGAAAAAAGCTTTTTAAAAAAATAGTAAAGCTTTGAAACGCTGGGTGTCAGGAGCGCCAGAGGAGGTGGCTGCTGCGTCCTCTGCGGAGCCCCAGGGAACCCCGGGGTACGTGTGTGCTCCTCGTGCCTTGTAACCGAGGATGGGGAATCCACTGGGCATGAGGAAGATGATTGAAATCCTCTTCAGCGCTGAAGGTTTGGTGGAAAAGGTTCTTCCTGGTTCTTTGGGGGTGGGGGGGACACGGACACGGGACAGGACAGACAGACGTGTGCCTGCCCAGGAGATTCCCAGCTGCTGTCCTGGCTCCAGCAGTCAGACAGATGCTGCCGCAGCTTTTCCTGGTGAGCAAGGGGCGATCGCTCACGGCTGCTGCCTCTCTTCCTGTCTTTCAGCTGCGGGAGCTGGTCAGCATGTGCATATACCCTGATCCAGATCAGAGACCTGACATCGGTTACGTGCACCAAATAGCAAAACAAATGCATGTGTGGACCTCCAGCACATGAGCCGGCTGCAGACGCTCCCGAGAAGCCAGCACAGCTCAGTCTTACTTGAATTTTTTTTCTCAGACGAAACCGACTGGTGCCTAGTCACACAAGCGCGAGGGTTGAGCACTCGTTGCAAGATGCTCCATTATTTCTGCAGGTTATTTGACAAGGACTCTTACAAGGTGGTCATGCTTTGAAGTGAAGATTCTGTGAGGTATTGCAAGTGATTTTTTTTTTTTTTTTAAGGCCAATAACATGTTACAGATGTAGATCATTTAAGGATCCTTTCTTAAAACTGTCGTGTGTAATCTAGGCTAGATGATATTAACGAGGGTGTCAGAGCGTTGACACACCCCTTCTATCTTAACTGTAATGTGAACTATTGAAATAATTCCTTCAGTGAAATCACTTTATACTAATGTAAGAATTACAGTAGGTTGTGTAATTTGTATAACTGCTACTTTGCCTCTTCTGCAAATGGTTAATAGCAAATTCAGTTTTTACTTCGTATATTCTAAAGCAGCCATTTATGTGTTTTTATTAATTCCCTCCTCTTCAGACTTAGGAACTGGGAAGGGTTGTGGGGGGAGGACACACACATTTGTTTCAAGTTTTCTTTTTTTTTTCAATTTGAAAACTTAGAGTGAGTATTTTGCTGATGCATTTATCTGTAAACTTGGCTGCAGCCAATGAGGTATGTACCTGGGGAAGAAGAAAAACATGCCAAACCCAAACCAAGCATTGCTTCTGCAAAGAACTGCTCTGTACACTTATTTTCCCGTTGGCGTGATGGTTCTTTCTAGACTGCAGGTTCTTGGTAAAAACCAGTGTTTATCTACGCCGAGGAGACTGGGGTGAAATACTTTCACACGTTCAGTAGTACGTCAGGTACTGTAGGTAACACTTAAGCAAAGCAGTGTTTTCAACACTTTGAAAAATTCAAAAAAAGAAAGAAGTGGAATGGTTTGTGTATCTAATTCTACATCAGGATTGGCCCCTGGCTGTGGAACTGTGAAAGCTCCTTTCCAGAATGTGAATTTTTTGTAAGATCTCAACCCGATTTGAAGGAGTCAACTTCTGTAACTAATGAAAATTTTCAATCAATCAACTAAATCCATTCATTGAATCAATGATTTGTTTCATTACTGTCAATGGAAACTCGTCACTGCTTTAGGAACAAAGGTGGATTCACGTTCCAGTGTTTCCGTTTCACGTGCCTGTTTGAAGGAACACGGCTGCAGGGGCAGGAAAACGCCGGAACTGTTACAGCCCCACGGCCGTGCGCGACGGTGGCTCATGCCAAACGTAATTTGTGTGTGACAGATTCCAGTGCAGCCTGTGCCTGTTGGGTTTTTTTTTTTTTCTCCTTAAGAAAAGCATCCAATCCTTAATTTTTTGGAAGTAAGATTAGGGTTAGAGGGTTACATACATATATATGCTTTTAGTGGATTTTTTTTAACCTAATTTGCTCTACTTAAAGGAAAACTGCAGTGCCACCTTCAACTATTGCCATCAAATTTTGAAATATTTATAGAAGGTAGCAAAGGAAAGCTATTAATTGCTGTGAATAATGTTGGTATCATTAATGCGAGGTGCCATTTTACTGAGTCTCCTCAGCAGAAAGTTGAGCCTGCTGCTCTCATGAGAGACTCGGGAAATTCAAATCAGCGTGAGAATGTGGTGGAGGCACTAAATTGCTCCCACCCTTCCCAGGTTAACGTGGTTAATTTACACCCAGCTTCTTTAGCAATTCTTAAATCGAAGACTGATGACTGTCACTCCATCACTGCAGAGTCCCTTTAAGCCGCGGTGGCAGCTACACGTTCCGAGGGAGGGTTGTGCTGCGCCTCTTGGTGTAACACAGGAAAAGATCTTTGGCTTCCAGGGAAGCTCAGCTTAAATCTGGGTATCTTGAGAAGTCCGGTCGCTTTCTGGCTACATAAAATTTATTAGTGCTTATAAGTAAATGTATTTCAAAAGGTAATTTTTTGCAATTGTGCTTTTTTAGATAAATAAAAAAATGATTTACAAAATAAACACCTTTGTTTTTTAAAAAAAAGAGTCCAGTATTAAGGAAAATATATTTTAAAAAACCTGAAATATGTGTGAAACTGTTCTTAACAGCCATCACAGGGAGATACTGTTCCAGAAAATGTGTGGAGTACACAAACTGTATCAGTTGTCCCCCTGAAAAACTTAAGTCCACCTTCTACATTGTGGCACATCAAAAGCTGTTTTTACTGGATGGTGGTTACAGGATGCTAAAATGAGAGGTTGGTACCAATTGACCTTTTGAGGCAGACTGTAGGTGATACACCTTCCCTTTTCTAGAAATGAGAAAATAATTCTGCAGGTGGATTTTCTGCTAGGTTCTTCATTTCTCTAGGATTAGATGGCACTGTGTGAAACAGTTTGAAATAATTTTTATCAAATAGTGTGAGCTCAGGATTTTTACAACAAAAAAAGGACCAAGTAGCAGCTTGCAGAAAAGTCTATGTAAGTAACTGGACCACTAGGCTTTGAATTATGACTTCAGCCATGTCAGTTTGAAATAAAAATGTCTATCAGCCTGCAGGTTGGAGCTACTCCCCATCCTGTCTCTAACTACAAAAATGAGGGAAGAATAAATATAAATGTGTCATCATCCCCCTGTTACTTCCCTGCAATAAGGTAGGTCAAGGGCAGCAGTTCAAACCCACCCCTGCTCACTCTTTTCACACCTTTTCTGGAGCAGGTATGTATCTATCAGCAAAATAACACTGTTTGATTAAACCATCCACTGGGGCTGGCACAGAGTCACTTTACCCTTGCTGGTTTGTTCCTAGAGTGAAGTACAAACCCAGCTGCTGTAGGTGGTGGGTTTTCTGCCCCAGGCACCAGGATGATGCTTGGTATCCCCTCCAGGAGCCTGGCTCTCTTCCAGGTGGTAGTAGAGCTTTTTTTAGGGTGAAGTCCACCTTACCTCCACAGCCCCCATTGCTGAAGAGGGGGTAGGATGCTGTTCTGCATAAGCCTCACCTTTCCAACAGGGTAAGAAGGGAAAAGCAGGAGAAGAAATCAGCACCACATGAAAACACAAATTAGGAGAATGGGCAGAACGCTCTTTATTCTGCACCAGCTGCAGGTTTGTCTGGATGCTGCACAGGCTCTGGACACAACAAGGGCTGGTCCAGGGCTGCATGTGGTGACAGTTCAGGACGTGTCCATGGTTTGTACGGTTTCATCCACCACCTCAATCTCCAGGTGTGCCACATTTTCTGTGAGCACAGCAGTCGTTCCTTTTTCACACTTGTATCTCCCATACCTGTTAACGAAATGAGTGAAAATTAAGCTGGAAGCCAGGATGACATAAGAAAACTCCCACGTGAAATTTTAGAACTAATCAGCTTTCTCGAGAATTTTCCTGTAAAACATCCAAAGTTACAGAACTGTGCCTACTGCAAACTCTAAACAGCTTGCGCTAACTGAAAGGTTCAGATAAACTAGCCCTTCTACAAAAGACACTGTCCTTAAAAAAAAAAATAAATTACCAAGTAATTGGAAGGCTCCATTACAGAAATAACTGGGATCTCATTAGGCCATAGGACATGCTTGCTGTGTACCCTCCCTGGAAGAAAAACCTATTTTTGGCAACTCCAGAATAACTTTACCTAAGGAGTAGCTGTGGATTTCTCGGCTACAGTTAGCTACCATTGAACACATTGAGCCATGCTTCTGAAATCTTCACAGCATCACCCTTTCTACCCATTTACACAGTAGAAGCCAAAAGTTTCACTTAAAATGTGTAATAGAAACTCCCTCCTTGCTGACCACCTCTAGACACTTCTGCTCAGCACCGTGTCCTGCATATGGGGTTGTACAGGAAGAAATCAAACCCCTGAATGGGGGCAGCACACGGGATCTCTCTGACCGCCACGATTCTGGCAGTGCATTGAAAAGTTGCACAACTGTTACACATAAAAATACACATTGCAAAATTGTAGCTGCCAGTGATTTCACTGCTCAGGCACTGTAGTTCACCAAGCACCATCTCTGTGTGTTCAGAAGGAAGATTCGTCAGCTCCTCTCACACTCAAAATTTGGTAACTTCAGAATTTCATCACCTCTGCATCCCGAACATGCTCAGTGTTACCAGCCCCACAGTACACACTGACACCTTGATGCAGACTTGAATGTTTTGACACAAAGAGATTCAGAATTCCTGTCTTGAGGAAACAAGCGGCAGAATGATGTCACCTTTGTGAAGGATTTACAACCCAGTTTCACGTCCTGTGCAGCTTTTCCCTGGGCTTCAAGGGAACGAACACTGAGAAAGGTGTCG